CTTCTCATGTGGGCATTTATTGCTATGTATTTTCCCCCTCAAGACTGCTTTAAATGTGTCCTAGAGATTCTGGTATGTTGTGTCTTTGTTCTCATTGATTTTGAAGAACATCTTTATTTCTGCCTTCATTTCATTGTTTATCCAGTCAACATTCAAGAGCCAGTTGTTCAGTTTCCATGAAGCTGTGCGGTTCTGAATTAGTTTCTGAATTCTGAGTTCTAACTTGATTGCACTGTGGTCTGAGAGACTGTTTGTTATGATTTCCGTTCTTTTGCATTTGCTGAGGAGTGATTTACTTCCAATTATGTGGTCAGTTTTAGAGTAGGTGTGATGTGGTGCTGAGAAGAATGTATGTTCTGTGGATTTGGGGTGGAGAGTTCTGTAAATGTCTATTAGGTTTGCTTGGTCCAGGTCTCAGTTCAAGTCCTGGATATCCTTGTTAATTTTCTGTCTCGTTGATCTGTCTAATATTGACAGTGGGGTGTTAAAGTCTCCCACTATTATTGTATGGGAGTCTAAGTCTCTTTGTAAGTCATTAAGAACTTGCCATATGTATCTGGGTGCTCCTATATTGGGTACGTATATATTTAGGATCGTTAGCTCTTCTTGTTGCATTGATCCTTTTACCATTATGTAATGTCCTTTGTCAGTTTTAGCTCACCTTTATGAGGTGACTCTTTGGATATACAGGGGTCAGGGAGCTGCTTGAGGAGACAGTCTGTCCTTTATAGGAGCTCAAGTGCTGACCTGTGAGCTCCATTGTTCATTCAGAGCTGCTGGGCAGGTACGTTTAAATCTGTGGCAGCAGAACTCATAAACCCCCACCCTTTTTTTTTTTTTCTCAGGTGCTGTACTGGGGAGTTAGGGCTTTATGAGTTTCTGTTGTGCTGCTGCCTTTTTTCAGGGCTGCCCTGCCCAGTGAGGAGGCAACCTAGTCACTGTCTGCCTGCAGAGGCTTTGCTGAGCTGGTGTGGGCTCCACTCAGCTACCGTGTGAACTTCCCTGCAGTCCTGTTTATACGGGTATAGTTAGAACTGCCTGGGCAATGGCGGCCCACCTCTATAATGGCGGACTCTCTCTGTAATGACGGGCTGCCTCAGCAATGGCAAACTCCCTCCGTAGTGGTGGACTGCCTCGGTAATGGTGGATGCCTCTCCCCCACAGAGCTGGACCTTCCGGGGTCAGCTGTGCTTGCTGTGAAACTCTCAATCCAGAGTGTTTCCTATTGTTGTTTTTCTGTGGGGGTGGGACCAGCTGAGCCTGATCACCTGGCTCCCTGCCTCAGAGCCCCCTTTTTTTTTTTTAGTTGAACGATCAACTCTGTCTCCCAGGTGTTCCAGTCGCCTGTTGAAAAGGCACTGGGATCTGTGATTTCCCGTGCGGCGACCCACTGTGCCGGCCGTGCTGTGATTCGTGGCGCTTTTTTGCCTGGGAATCTCCTGGCCTGGCTCCCTGTTTCAGTCCCCTTTTAAATCAGTTGAATGGGTGACTGACTGCCACGAGCTCCAATCGCCAGCCAAAACGGCACCCGGACCGTGTATTTTGTATGGAGAACCGCCAGGGCGCCAGCAAAGCAGCTGTGCTAGCCAAACCAGCTGCGATGTCGACCCGTAGGGCTCCTCTGCTTGGGAATCTCCTGGTCTGTGGGCAATAAAAATCCATCTGGAAATGCGTTGTCCACTCACCGTCCGTGCTTTCACTGGGAACTGCAATCCTGAGCTGCTCCTAATTGGCCATCTTGGATCCCTCCCAGGAACTTTTCTTGAATGTCATTCTGACAGATGTGTCAAATACACAAATCTCTTTGCCCAGGAAACAAGAGTTAACCTGGAGCAATTTTACTTTTTTTTGAAATGTAGCCTCGCTTTTTTGCTCAGGCTGGAGTGCAGTGGCGCGATCTAGGCTCACTGCAAACTCCCCGTCCCTGGTTCAAGCAATTCTCTTGCCTCAGCCTTCTGAGTAGTTGGGATTATAGGCACGCACCACCACAGCTGACTAATTTTTGTATTTTTAGTAGAGATGGGGTTTCACCGTCTTGGCCAGGCTGGTCTTGAACTGACCTTGTGATCCACCTGCCTGGCCTCCCAGAGTGCTGGGATTACAGGCGTAAGCCACCGTGCTCAGCTTATGTTTTATTTTTAACAGTCTCTGTTGTCCAAAGCTCACCAAAGCCTTGATCTCCTCCTCCTGGGATCAGGCATCCTCCTGCCTCAGCCTCCTCCCAAGTAGTTGGGATTATAGGCTGTCCCACCATGCCTGGCTAATCATAAATTTTTTTGTAGAGTTGGGGGTCTTGCTTTGTTACCCAGGCTAGTCTCAAACTTGTGGCCTGAAGTGGTCCTCCTGCCTCAGCCTTCAAAGCACTGGGATTACAGGTGTGGGCCACTGCATTGGCCTCTTTTACATTATACTGGTTTTTATACCAAATTAGGAGTCCTTAAAGGTACAGGAGTTTTAGAATTAGACCTGTGTTGTCTCAGTTTTATCTCAGGGAGTTATGTCATAGGTTCTTAAATATCTCAGAATTTTAAGAATTTAAATGGGATGTGTGTGAAAAGTATAAAATTGTAGCTGTTAAAACCAAATGACCACTATAGGTTTCTCCGTTTATTTAGCCACAGTTGTCACCTGTTTCTGCTTCTATCTGTCAGGTCAAGGCTAAAAAGGAGGAAGTAAGAGCACAGATAAGATAAACTTTTAACCTATCTGGAGAGTTGCCAAGTAGAGGGCAAAAATACAGGTATTGAGCACTGGGACTGTGAAATACATTATTCAGTTTTTTAGGGAGCCCAGGTCAGAAGGAAATGATTTTTAGAAGCATGAGCCAAAACTACAAAAAGAAAAGAGGACAACCATTTGCTGGGACCCCTTTAAAAAAAGATTGATTGGAGCTGGGCAACGTGGCATGCACATATTGTCCCAGTTGCTAGGGAGGCAGAGGTGTGAGGATTGCTTGAACCCAGGAGTTTGAGTCCAGCTTGGGCAACAGAATGAGAACCTGTCTCTAAAAGAAGGAAACAAACCAGGTGCAGTCGCTCATGCTTGTAATCCTAGCACTTTGCGAAGTGAGGCTGAGGATTGCCTGAGCTCAGGAGTTGGAGACAAGCCTGAGCAACATGGTGATACTCCTTGTTTACAAAAAATACAAAAATTAGGCAGGTGGGGTGGTATGCACCTGTAGTCCCAGCTGTTTGGGAGGCTGAAGTGGGAGGATTAGCTGAGCCTGGGGAGGCCGTGGCTACAGTGAGCCGAGATTACACCACTGCACTCCAGCCTAGGCCATAGGATGAGACCCTATCTCAAAAAAACAAAACTTAAAAAAAAAGAGTAGGTGTGATTCAAAGGAGATGGCCCAGTTAGAAGTACCAGGTGAAGTTATCTGCCAGTGAAATACAAGTACTTGACTCCTTGCTCTAACTATGTAATTAATACTGGTGCCTTATTTTTGTTACAGGGTCTTGCTCTGTTGTCCAGGCCGGAGTGCAGTGACATGAACTTGGCTTATTGCAGTCTTGACCTCCTGGGTTCAAACAGTCCTCTTGCCTTAGCCTCCCGAGTAGCTGTATCTGAGATCACAGGCCCATGTCCCCATGCTCAGCTATTTTTTTTTTTTTTTTTTTTAAGTTTTTCTAGAGACAGCGTTTTACCACATTGCCCAGGCTGATCTCAAACTCCTGGGCTCAAGCAATCTGCCTGCCTTGGCCTCCCAAAGTGCTGGGATTACAGGTGTGAGCCACTGTGCCTTGCCTGCAGTGTCGTAGGAAACTGATGAGTACTATGTATCTCTTGTAATAGAGGGAAATAAGTAGTTTCTGTTATTTATGATGGACTGTGAAATTTTAGGGGTTCAGGTCAGAATTGTCACACTGGTTGTAGTTGTGATGATAACTGGGTTATGATGCAGTATAAAAAAGTTTGAGAGCCACTTTGGAGAGAACTTGAGGTATGCTTAGTATGTAGAGTGACATGCCACCTACCAGTGTGGTAACCAGGCTTTTGTGAATGAGTCTGGGATATGGTACAATAAATACTACACTTATTATGTGTGAAAAGATAAGTTAGGAGCATTTTCTTGTGAATTCAAGGGTAGAAAACTTGTCCATCGTTAGTTTTTAGGGATCCTGCTCTTTCACTTAAAAAACCCCAAATGGCCAAGCTGGGATTCATTTGGTGTGCTGTAGAAAGAACTTTATTGGTGTTCATGGATTCCAATTACATCTTAGAGGAGTTTTCAAAAGCATCTTTAGACTGTACGTGTATATACACACACATTGATTCAGTAGGTGGGTCATGGGGCCATGAATCTAAATTTAGATTAACAGGTGATAACTGTAGATTCACAGTGTCTGCAGACTTATACTGTGAATTTGTGGACATTATTGACTACATTTTAGGTTTATAATCAGAAAAAAGTTAAATGAGTTAATCAAGATGCTTTAAAAACCCTGTGTACTTTAGAGAAGTTACATTTAATGAACACCAATAGGGTATCTAATGTAGGCTAGGGCATATATACTTCATTTCCTCAAATATTTTGAAAAGAATTGGTGAACTAACATTTATTGAATGTGGTTCTCTACATTTTTCACACTTAACCTCCCTCATAGGGTTGTGAAATGTATCTCATTTTCTGGATGAGAAAATTGAGGCACAGAGGTACACTTACAAATTTACAAAAGATATAATAAATGGTGGAACTAAGATTTGAACCCAGGATGAAGTCTACTGCTTGTTTTTATTTAATTAATTTTTAAGAGACAGGGCCTCACTATGTTGCCTAGGCTGACCCTTGAACAACTGGGCTCAAGCAGTCCACCCACCTCAGCCTCCTGAGTAGCTGGGACTGCAGGCACACCATGGTCTCACAGTTGTTTTTAAACACTAATAGTAGTCTTTCACAAGGACACTTATAAAAGGCAGAGCTGGAACCCACAATTCATTTGCCTGCTCAGACTAAGTCTTAGAAAACTGAAAGTAACATTTTTATTACTGTATTTCAGGTAATCAATATCTGTTTTTGCCACCAAATCGTTATATTTTCCATGGCGCTGAGGTATATTCAGACTCTGAAGATGACGTCTTATCCTCTAGTTCTTGTGGCAGTAACAGTGATAGTGGGACATGCCAGAGTCCAAGTTTAGAAGAACCCATGGAGGATGAAAGTGAAATTGAAGAATTCTACAATGGCTTAGAAGATGAGCCTGACGTTCCAGAGAGAGCTGGAGAAGCTGGATTTGGGACTGATGGAGATGATCAAGAGGCAATTAATGAAGTAACAGACATGAACTATCCATCAAACAAATCATAGTGTAATAATTGTGCAGGTACAGGAATTGTTCCACTGGCATTAGGAACTTTAGCATGTCAAAATGAATGTTTACTTGTGAACTCAATAGAGCAAGGAAACCAGAAGGTGTAATATTTATAGATTGATAAAATAGATTGTTTTTCATGGATAATTTTTAACTTCATTATTTCTGTACTTGTACAAACTCAACACTAACTTTTTTTTAAAGAAAGGTACTAAGTATCTTTAATCAGCTATTGGTCAAGATTAACTTTCTTTTAAAGGTTCATTTGTATGATAAATTCATATGTATATATAATTTTTTTTTGTTTTTGCCTAGTGAGTTTCAACATTTTTAAAGTTTTCAAAAAGCCATCAGAATGTTAAATTAATGTAAAGGGAACAGCTTATCTAGACCAAAGAATGGTATGTTCACTTTTCTTTGTAACATTGAATGGTTTGAAGTACTCAAAATCTGTTATGCTAAACTTTGGATTCTTTAACACAATTATTTATTTTTAAACACTGGCATTTTCCAAAACTTGTGGCAGCTAACTTTTTAAAATCTCAAGTGACATGCAATGTGAGTAGAAGGAAGTCAACAAAATGTAGGCGAGCACTCGGTTGTCTTTACTTTTAAAAGTAATACTTGGTGCTAAGAATTTCAAGGATTATTGTATTTATTGTTCAAATGAAGATGGCTTTTGTACTTCTTGTGGTCATGTAGTAATGTCTATATTGGATCATAGAACTAACCTGAAAAACAAATAAATGCTTTGGAAATGTTTCAGTTGCTTTAGAAACAATAGTGCCTGCCTGGATCCCCTTAGTTTTGAAATATTTGCCATTGTTGTTTAAATACCTATCACTGTGGTAGAGCTTGCATTGATCTTTTCCACAAGTATTAAACTGCCAAAATGTGAATATGCAAAGCCTTTCTGAATCTATAATAATGGTACTTCTAGTGGGGAGAGTGTAATATTTTGGACTGCTGTTTTCCATTAATGAGGAGAGCAACAGGCCCCTGATAACAATTCCAAAGTAGTAAGATGTTAATTATAACTCAGCCAGAAAGTACATGTCTCCCGTTGGGAGGATTTGGTGTTCAATACCAAACTGCTAGCCTAGTATTATGGAGATGAACATGATGTAATAGCAGAGTAGTTAATGAATGAAACTAGTTCTTATAATTTATCTTTATTTAAAAGCTTAGCTTGCCTTAAAACTAGAGATCAACTTTCTCAGCTGCAAAAGCTTCTAGTAAGTTCATACTTTATGAAATTGCACAGTAACCATTTATTTTTCAGACCATTTTTGAACATTATTCCTAAATTAATAAAGTATTCCTATGTTGCTTTAGTATTTATTACAATAAAAAGGCTTTGAAATATAGCTGTTCTTTATGCATAAAATACCCGGCTAAGACCATTACTGCCAGAGGAAAAAAAATCGTATTGAATGGCCATTTCCCTACCTAAAAGATGTCTCAATCTGAATTTATTTGGCTACACTAAAGAATGCAGTATATTTAGTTTTCCATTTGCATGGTGTGTTTGTGCTATAGATGATATTTTAAATTGAAAAGTTTGTTTTAAATTATTTTTACAGTGAAGACTGTTTTCAGCTCTTTTTATATTGTACATAGTCTTTTATGTAATCTACTGGCATATGTTTTGTAGACTGTTTAATGACTGGATATCTTCCTTCAACTTTTGAAATACAAAACCAGTGTTTTTTACTTGTACACTGTTTTAAAGTCTATTAAAATTGTCATTTGAATTTTTTCTGTTAACTTATATTGTTTAAGGTATATGATTTTTAAATCTTTTAGAATTTGTACAGCTTCAAATGCTACAGTATTAGATGCTTTATTTCTCATACAATGTTTTATCATTCAGTTTACTACATTAGTCTCACCAGACCAGTACTTGGAAACACTGATGGTGCTGAACCTAGATGATGCATCACCATCAAGCATTTCAAAACCATTTCAGCCAGTATAGGCTAGAGGCTTTAGCAAGTAAAACATGGGGAAAAGGCAGAGCAGGGCTTTAAGAAGGACGTGATAACGTCCTATGACAAAGGACCAGGAGTTTGGGATTCGAGAGAGAATAGGAATTGGTGGATAGTGAATTCAAGAATCCCATGTGATGCAAAGCCCGGGTTAACTGAAATATGTTCTTGTATGCTAGGTTTTTCAAGTCCGAAAACTGCAGACCACATTTGGTATCAACTTTGAGGCTGACCTGAGAACCTACTTAAGCCATTAAAGGTTTTGAGGGAGAAAGTACTCATGAAGAGGCCAGCAACATGCCCCTTAAAATGTATGTGTAACGAGGTATGTGTAATGAAGCTGGGCGTGATGGTTCACCTGAGGTCAGGAGTTCGAGACCAGCCTGGCCAACATGGTGAAACCCCACCTCTACCAAAATACAAAAATTAGCTGGGTATGTTGGCAGGCGCCTGTAGTCCCAGCTACTTGGGAGGCTGAAGCTAGAGAATCGCTTGAACCCAGAAGGGAAGGTTGTGGTCAGCCAAGATTGTACCACTGCACTCCAGCCTGGTGATAGAGCAAGACTCAGTCTCAAAAAACAAAAGTATTTGTAATGAATAAAGCTTTAGCAATTTCCTGTTCACAGTTCTGCCTCCCTCCTCAGCAGACTTTCTATATATACCCTGTCCTGTATATTGTTAGCACTAGAGAAATAACCTGTAAAATCCCATCCTCAAAATACTACAAAATTAAGGAACATCATTCTATATACGCACAAATTGAAGTCAGGCAGTTGATAACTTTTAAAACGTACATAGTCAAGTGGTCAAACGATAACTTGGCAAGACTTAATTTAACTCAAGCCCTGTACATAATACGACTGCTGAACCACTTTGGCTAATGCAGCATATATACTATATTTCATTGATTGTAATACCCTAGTTAATGTCACATGATGGTTTAGTTGCCATTTTTTTTTTTATAGTGGTACATAAAATGACTGGACCTTCAATGGTGTTTTACGTAATCTCCAACTAAGCTTTATTTGAAACACGTCTCAACTCCTGATCAATAATTTAGAAAGGGGTGGCGGGGGAGTATGTATGTGTATGTATGACAAAACCTCTCCCCCCAAAGATCTAAAGCCATTCTGTGCCTTCAGTTCAAACTAGGATGCTAATAGAAGTACAGAAATGTGGTCTAATGACCTCCGCACCTTTTGGAGTGACTCTCAAATGGGACTATTAAAAACCACTTGAAAACTTTTTAAAAGTCTGTATAGCCCGAGATGTCTTAGAAATAAAGATTTCATTGGTATAAGGTGGGGGCTTGTGCAGAGTAATTTAAAACACCCCCAGGCAATTCAGAAGTATAGCCAGATTTGAGAAACGCCCTTAGCTGGAAAAGAAAAGGAAGCTCCATTTAGACGTTTAACATGGCCTGAAAGGGAGGAGATTAACTTATATTAGCACCCTCTATTTCCAAGTTTTCCCCAGAAATACTTCATCAGTTAGTTAACTTGGGGTTCATAAGCCAACACGGAACAGTAGGGAGCTACCAAAATAGAGTGAAGTCTTGAGCAAAGGAGGACAAAACTACTATAAGGCATTTTGGATGGTCAAAGTACAAAAGAGGTTGGGAAGTGGAGGGAGACTGATGACAGGAATATTTTGCTCTTTTTAGCAAGTTTACCATACACGCTTCAGGGGAAGACTGCTCTGTGCCATATTACGCTTTGATTCACAACTTTACTAAATGTAGTAAAAAGCTGTAAGGAGGAACAACCTGCTAGTAAAAACTGACCCCAGTGAATGGTCCTTAGGAATAGATCCTTTGCGAAGGCTAACCTTGGGACTCTAATTAGGTCTCTCAGTATTTACAACTACATTCTGGTTTTATTGTTGTATTATTTTTTGAGACAGTCTTGCTCTGTAGCCCAGGCTGGAGTGCAGTAGCACCTCAGCTCACTGCAACCTCTGCCTCCCAGGTTCAAGTGACTCTCCAGAGTGGCTGGGATTACAGGCATCTGCCACCACATCTGGCTAATTTTTTGTATGTTTAGTAGAGATGGGGGTTTTACCATGTTGGCCAGGCTGGTCTCGAACTCCTAGACTCAAGCCATCTGCCCACCTCAGCCTTCCAAAGTGCTGGGATTACAGGTGTGAACCACCACACCCAGCGAGCATTCTGGTTTCATTTGCTTTTAATTGAAAGGAGTATCTTGCTTCTACTGCCTTAATAATCCTGAATGATAGCTACTAGCTAAAGACAGGAGAGCTACAAACACACTATATATCTATCTCGTAGAAACAGATGTGTGGAGGCCAAATGCTTCAGTATTTAGCTAACTCAACCATTACGGTCCCACAATTTAGCAAACTATCTGCATCCAGCCTTGCTGCTCTGATCTACAAAGCTCGAGACTTGTTTTGTAAAAGCAAATGGCAATTTCAGAAATCTTCCATGGTATTTTAACTGTCTACCATGAATCTCCTTGCTGTTAATGCACTGTATCAGTCTGTGGTAACGGAAGAAAGTTCCCAAATTAAGCTCTGTACAGTGTGCTCCCAGATGAGATGCTATGTTCTCGTTAAAATACTTGTTCATGGAACTATTAATCCAAAGCCTGCTATTTCACTAATCAGCTTCATAGTACACAAAGGTTACTATTGAAAAAGAGCATCTGACGTGTTTGATTTGAATTACTACCTCAAGGAATGGATGAACAGGGAAAATGGTATACTATCAGGTACATGGAAACATTTCTCATAGGGAGGAATGCTGCTACTATGAGAAGTACCTTAGGTGAAAATACTGTTTTAGTGCTTCTATCTATAGAAAAGTTCTATGGTTTGCCAATAGTTTTTTAAGTTAGACTACTGAAAAGTACAAATCCACAATCCCTTACCCAACCCTGGGGCTTATTTGCATTTTGGAATTATGCATTTTAAAGATTTTTTAAAAGCACCCAATAGGGTTCATAGTCTCATTTAGTGTATACCATTAATAGCTTCAACAATTCAGATCAGGTTTTTCTGCATAGTGAGAGGTGAAAATATTCTTTTCAGTTTTTTTAAATTTTAGAATTGCAGGTAAGAGACTGCAGACCTCTATAAATTCATATGGGCATGGAAACAGCAATCCGAAATTTAAGAGACCCTCCCTGAGCCATCCCTCTTTCTGAAAAATTTTGACTCTTACATGAGAACCACTGAAAGTTTAAATATTAAAACAATAAATCTTTATTAAACAGTTTCACGGCATTTTTAAATAAATTTTAAAAATAAATATTTGCATTGTAGCAGAAAGTCACATGTATTGCATCCACTCACTTTTACAATTTAATGGCATGAGATAACTAAGCATCAGCACCATAAAACTGTTAAGATTTGTTTAATAAATTCAAGGAAATAGCTTTTTAAAGCACTGCAGCATCAATAATTTTGAAAGCTATAACCCAGAGATTGGTGCTCATAGTAGCCAGTTTCTTTTTATTACTGGCAAATGTAGAGACAAGAGTTCTTCTTCCAATACTAAATAGTTTCAACAATCCCCCATCTCTCAGCATGTCAGGATTCACAAAAGAGAAAAGAACTGCAGGTTATGTAGTATATTCCCTATTTGTGATTTAGGGTTGCACAAAGACACTTATTCTAGCAAAAAAGAAATGACTGTTTCCACCATGCTACCTTTTTTTTTTTTCATAGAGTCTCAGAGGAAGATTGAAATCATAATTTTTAACCTTTAAAAGTCTGCTCAGGTTCAATTACAACCATAGAAACTGTACTGGTATCAGAACATAACTATTTTATTACAAAACTTAGTATTATTTACAAAATGAAAAAATAATCAAATGACTATCGCAGGCCAAAGTTAAAGGTTTTTCACTCAATGATTGAAGAAAAATTAAGCAGTATTTCCATGCACTCACACCAGATCATTTCTGAAATATGCAAACTCTTGAAATTCATGTTAGTAAAACTTTAATGTATTCACAATACCTGTATGTTTATTGGAAGATGGTCAAAAAAAAGCCATGGTTCTGTACAGTAATATTAACAGTTTGTTCATTTTCCTTTAATTTTTTTGGCTTCCATGAACACTCGCAGATTGAACATTTTGCAAGTAAGAATTATAATAGTACTTCTGTCACCTTGCTGAATTCATCACCACAAGAAAAACACAAATAGTTTAATGCTTTTGCACTAAACTGAATAGTTGTAACTCCAAAGTTATATTAAACTGAAGCCTTCATTGTGATCAATAGCTTGGATCAGTTTAGAGCGTAGAGTTTCTTTTTCTGTATATTTTGGAAGATCCAGAAGATTAAAACAAGTATGGGAAACTGGGAGATATTCCTCACCACCTCCTGTTGGCTGGATGACTAGTTTCAGACTCTTCATACCAAGAATAGGAATGCGATCACTACCTGTCAAAAATACTGCCAAGAAAAAAATCAGTCAACCACTTCAAAACCAAAACTTAAAGTAGCAAGTAAAATTTCGTACAGTCTATAGCAGAGCTTCATATTAACATTTGCTCTAAGGTATTAACTTCCTGAATTTGTGGAAGACAAGTTTTTTGAGACACATACTAATTGCTCATCCACACAATATTTTTTCTTTCAAAGTATAATCTTAATAGTGGCACAAAGGAAGTGCTTAATAAACGTTTGATAAGTGAATAACTATTGCCATTCCTAAAACATTTTGAGAGCCCCCTTTTTTGGAGAACTCATTTAGGAACTAGTTGACAAACCAAATACAAAATGCAGTTTTGATTATGATTTATCTATTTGCTTTGTTTCTGTTATTTTTTGAGATGGAATCTCGCTCAGTTGCCCAGGCTGGAGTGCAGTGGTGTGATCTTGGCTCACTGCAAACTCCGCCTCCTGGATTCCAGTGATTCTCCTGCCTCAGCCTCCTGAGTAACTGGTACCTGGCTAATTTTGGTTATTTTTTAGTAGAGATGGGGGTTTTACCATATTGGCTAGGCTGGTCTCGAACTCTTGACCTTGTGATCCACCCGCCTTGGCCTCCCAAAGTGCTGGGATTATAGGCATACACCACTGTGCCCAGCCATTTCTGTTATTTTTTTATCAGAAATTTATAATGGGCAGCCAAAATTCGAATCACTTTTTTTTTTTTTTTTTTTTTTGAGATGAGTCTTGCTCTGTTGCCCAGGCTGGAGTGCAGTGGCACAATCACGGCTCATAGCAGCCTTGACCTCCTGGGCTCAAGCAATCCTCTCACCTCAGCCACTGGAGTAGCTGGGCGCACAGGCACGTGTCACCAAGCCCAGGGCTAATTTTTGTAGAGATGTGGTTTTGCCATGTTGCCCAGGCTCAAATCACTCTTAAAGAGTAATGATTTCTCATCCTTAAGACATACAAAAAAATTTGACCAAGATCCTCAAAGAGATTGCTAAAATATTCTTGTCAATAGCAGGAATATCAAAGAAAATGTTGCTGATTTAGACACAAATTCCGACAACTTTAAAAATAAGTCAAATTTCAATTAGAATATGGACTTTAACAGGAGGATAGACAGCCATCAGTTATAATGAGGGAAGTAAGGCCCAAAGTGTTTCATTTTATATAGAAATTCCCAAAGGTTTAGTCTTGAGCCAAAAGAAAAAGAAAATGAAGACCAAACAGAGAAAAGGGCATGTATACAGTTGGCCCTCCATATCTGTGGATTCTGTATCCATGGATTCAACCAACTGCAAACTGAAAATATTCTCAAAAAATGGATGCTTGTGACTACTGAAATGTTGACCTTTTTTCTTGACATTGGTTCCCAACAATACAGTATAACAACTATTTACATAGCATTTACATTGTATGAGGTATTATTAATACAAGTACATTCATGTGTCATTAAGTTCTGAGAAATGCAGCATTAGGCGATTTTGTTGTGTAAACATATATTTACACAACCTAGACAGTATAGTCTACTACACACCTAGGCTACAAACATGCAGAGCATGCTACTGTGCTGAATCCTGTATGTAAGTAACACAACAATAAGTATTTGTGTATCTAAACACAGAAAACGTACAGTAAAATTAAGGTATTATAATTTTATGGGACCACTATCGTATATGTGGTCTCTGATTCACTGAAAAGTCATTATGTGGCACATGACTGTAATCTAGAGATGATTTAAAGTATAAGGATGTGTGTTAATTGCAAATACTATGCCAATTTATGTAAAAAACCTGAGCATCTGTTGGATTGAGGTATCCTTGGCGGTGAGGTCTTGGAACCCACCCCCCATGTATGCTGAGGGATGACTACCCCAGAGATCTTTTTAGAAATCTAAAAGAATTCTACAATCCTAGTTGATTGTAACCACAGTTTAACATAGCGATAGTTTGCTTTAATTTCCAAGTTAGCTTCCGTTTTACTTCATAGAATCAATGCCATTTTGGAGGCAAGCTGAATTTAGCCTTTGAAATAAGAAAATAAATGTACTGAAGAGTGCAGATCAGTTATTTTATCAAAAAAAATTATTTGAAGATTAAAAACAAGACTTTGGAATAATATTGTAATTAGATTCCAGTCTCATAAAATAGACAACCAGTTAGAAATACTTACACAGAAATTGTTTCTTCTTTTCCAATGGTAATTCGTGAAATACTTCCCAAAAAATTTTTATCGTAGGATGTTCTGCCCAATATTCCCCTTTGTATTCTGTATTCTAAAAACAACATAATCTTGTATTAGTATTAAGGGATATTAGTTTTGTTTTGAATCTGGCAAACTGGCTACTGTATTAACACATAAAGCTAACACGGTCCAGGAAAGCTAACATGGTCCAGGAGTTTGAAACTCATGCAATTCAATGAACTACTCACTACTTCCTGGACATTTACAATTTGAAGCTATTAGTTCCAGGAGAAAAAGAAGAAACATGTAACAATCACCAGAAATCTCTCCCAGCACCTCAAAGAACAAGACAGGATCATACTATCATCTTCAAAAGTAAATATTTAAAGAGAAACATTACGGGACTATTAAAAGTTTGACATGGAATTATCTGTGATAATTAGAAAATTTTCACTTTCTGTATTCACGAACAGAAGTAAAACATTACACTCTATCCCTCCTTTTAAAAATACGGTACTAAGCAACACTAAAAATTTTCTGAGCTAGTGTCCAAGATGGCCACCTGCCTCCTGGTATTCATGCCCGTGTGTAGTAAGGATATTGTGAATATAAGGGATGTATGATTTCTGAGACTAAATCATAAAAAAAAAACTACGGTTTCAGCCCTTCTTCTGGATCACTCACTCTGGGGAGAACCAGTTGTCATTTCATGAGGATATTCAAACATCCCTATATGAAGAGAAGGTACTCATGGTCCTATATTAAGGCCTCCTGCCAACAGTTATGTGACTAAGCCACCTTGGAAGTGAATCTCTATCCTTTACTAGGCGCGTTCAGATGACTAGAGCACCAGCCAGTATTCTGACTGCAACTTCATGAGAGAACTCTGAGCCCAAACTACTCAGCTAAGCCACTCCTGAATTCCTGACCTACAGAAACCATGAGAAAGCAAAGTTTTATTGTTATTTTCAAGCCAGTAAGTTTTGGGGTAATTTGCAGCAATAGGACTAAATATCTCCTCTTTCAAAAATATTAGTACTGGCTGGGGACGGTGGCTCACGCCTGTAATCTCAGCACTTTGGGAGGCCGAGGTGAGTGTATCACTTGAGGTCAGGAGTTTGAGACCAGCCTGGCCAATATAGGGAAACCCCGTTTCTATTAAAAATACAAAAATTAGCCAGGCATGGTGGCAGGCGCTGAAGCAGGAGAACCAGTTGAACCTGAGAGGTGGAGGTTGCAGTGAATCAAGACTGTGCCATTGCACTCCAGCCTGGTCAATAAGAGTGAAACTCCGTCGTCTAAAAAAAAAAAAAAAAAAAAAAAAAAAAAAAAAAAAACGTTGTTAAAAAAAAAAAAAAAAAAAAAAAGAAAAAAGAAAATTAGTACTAGGAGAGAAGGGGATAGGAAGCAGAAAGGAAACAGTTCATATTGTAAAGTGCTTTTATCCAGCCACAGATGGCCTTAACTTTCCGTTCTTAAGATGCGTCAGGCCCTCTGATTATACCGTTCCCTCAGCCTATACCACCTAGACACATCCTTTCTTCTTTGGTCATCAGGCTAATTTTTACTCACCCTTTTAGGGCTCAGATTAAAGGTCATCTAACTCATTGATTCATCCAACAAATATGTAATGTGTTTTAGTCAATGTTTTGGGCCCTGGGAAAACTTCAGTGAACATAATCCTCACTTACCTTGTGGAGCTTACCATCTAGTGAGAGGCTTTCCCAGATTCATTTAGCCTAGATTAGGTTCCTCCTTATATACCATAAACTCTTTTTCATTGTATTCATCAAAACTAAATTTCTAGCTCCCTTATTAGGGCAAAGACCATGTCTCAATCTTATTTCCTGCTCTCTCCTTAATCTCTTGCATAGTTTCAGCTGCATATTATCAGGCACACAGTAGAGGCTCAATAAATACTTGCTCTTGAATTTTGGACTCTCCTTATTTGTAGCCATGATTTATCTCAATCACTGAACTCTCAATAATTCAAATCTGCAAAATATTTGCTGTTAGGTGCAAACAAGTCTGAAGAAAATGGTTTGAATTCTAGCACTCAATTTATTAAACTGTTTGAATTAGTCTGTGAACATGCTAGTGGAGAATGCAAAGAGGATGGCTAAAGTTTTTCTTTCTTTTAAATCTCTAAATGGTTTGGTAGAAATGTGCACACATGTCCTGATTAAGAAAGAACATTTACAGCTCCAAATCATACACTAAAATTGTAATGAATCAGACATATAATAGAAATCAAAGTATCAAGTATAAATACACTAAAATATACTTTTTAAGATGTCTTTTTTTTTTTTTTCTTAAGAGATGGGGTTTCTCCATGTTGGCCAGGCTGGTCTCGAACTCCTGACCTCAGGTGATTCACCCACCTCGGCCTCCCAAAGTGCTGGGATTACAGGCGTGAGCCACCGTGCCCGGCCTAAGATGTCCTGTCTTAACTGAATGAACACTTCCATCAATTGTCACTTCAGGCAAGGTTTCAGGTACTTACTGAGCACTCTTCTAGGTGCTGGGAATACAGCAGTGAACAAAGAGGCAAAAATTCTCCCCTCATGGTGCTTACATTGTAGTGGTGGGGAAGGAGCAACCGTAAAGACAAATAAGTAAAATTATGTCAAATCCAAAGAAGCAGAATAAAACAGTGAGGGGAGACAGGATATGTAGCAGGAGAGAGGATTGCAATTTTATATCAGTTATCCAGTGAAGGTCTCTGAGAAGGTGTAAACACAGAAAGGAAGGGCAAGAATCTTTCGATCTTATCAGGGGAAGAGAATTCCAGGCACATGGAAAAGGAAACAGAACCGCCCTAAGACTGGAGTGTGCCTGGAGGGATCTAGGCTCAGCAAAGAGGTTAATAAGGCTGAGGCAGAGTGAGAGGAACAATGACAGAAGATGAGGCAAGGAAGGACAAATTGTGTAGGATCTAAAGAGTAATGAGAAGCCGTTATATCATTTTCGTTTTAAGGTGATTAGCGGTGGAATCCATTTCCACCGGGGGACGCCTTAGAGTTAGTATCTACAGGCTTCTTCTCTTGAGCAGATCAATTTACCCCCACACAGGACCCTTCAATCTCCTTCCTGAAGGGTTTACACCTGGCTACCAGCTGCAAGGCATCCTGTTTTACCTAGTTTCCCAAATTGTAAAGCCAAGCTGTCTTTTGCTGGGTAGGAGAGGAGATGTGAATGGTCCAATTATTCTTTAAAATTGCTGTAAAGTAATTCTATTGTCCTTAGTCCAACCCTCATCCCTGCCATTAACGGTAATATGGTATACCAATTCTTGAGTCTTGCAGATTCTAGGGCATAAAATGAGTTGCCTCCTGACAATCCTGTCCCTCTGGAGGCTTAGAATTCAATTTTTCTCTGCACTAAGTCACTCATCAATTTATCTCCTTATTTTCTGTCTTCTAAAACTATTTCTTCTCTTGTTCATTAAATTTTCATTTTTCAGTGTGTGTATTCCTATTTTTATTCCATCACTGTCATTCTAGTGAGATTTTGGGAGGGAGCGGCTATGTTTATTCCATGTTTAATTAGAAGTCCTAGGCTGGGCGCGGTGGCTCAAGCCTGTAATCCCAGCACTGTGGGAGGCCGAGGCGGGTGGATCACGAGGTCAAGAGATCGAGACCATCCTGGTCAACATGGTGAAACCCCGTCTCTACTAAAAATACAAAAAATTAGCTGGGCATGGTGGCACGTGCCTGTAATCCCAGCTACTCAGGAGGCTGAGGCAGGAGAATTGCCTGAACCCAGGAGGCGGAGGTTGCGGTGAGCCAAGATCGCGCCATTGCACCCCAGCCTGGGTAACAAGGGCGAAACTCCGTCTCAAAAAAAAAAAAAGAAGTCCTAATTATCTCACACCTGTAATCCCAGCACTTTGGGAGGCCGAGGCGGGTGGATCACGAGGTCAAGAGATCGAGACCATCCTGGTCAACATGGTGAAACCCCGTCTCTACTAAAAATACAAAAAATTAGCTGGGCATGGTGGCGCGTGCCTGTAATCCCAGCTACTCAGGAGGCTGAGGCAGGAGAATTGCCTGAACCCAGGAGGCGGAGGTTGCGGTGAGCCAAGATCGCGCCATTGCACCCCAGCCTGGGTAACAAGGGCGAAACTCCGTCTCAAAAAAAAAAAAAAAGAAGTCCTAATTATTATTAAAATCTTATTCCTTAAATGAGTAAACAGTAATACTGGCCATTTTCTGATGTGTATATAGTTCTGTAAGTTCTAAGAAGATGTGCAGATCTATGTAATCGCTGCCACAATTAGGGTACTGAACAGTCCCATTACTGTTATGCTCTGAGATGTCTCTTGTGCTGCCTCCTCTGAAGTCACACCTTCCCGCTCAACCCCTAGCTCCTATTCACTATAATTGTCTTTTAAGAATGTCACATAAATGGAACCATACAGTATGCAATAATTTGAAACTGGCTTTCTTTACTCAGCATAAAGCCTCAGAATCATCCAGTTGTTGCATGTATCAACAGTGCCTTTTTTTTCTTTTTTGAGGTAGGGTCTTGCTTTGATGCCTACATCAGAGTGCGATCGAGGCCCACTGCAGCCTCCACCTCCTGGGCTCATGGGATCCTCCCACCTCAGCCTATCCAGTAGCTGGGACTAGGGGTGCACATAACCATGACCTGCTAATTTTTGTATTTTTTGTAGATACGGGGTTTCATCATGTTGCCCATACTGCTCTTGAACTCCTGGGCTCAAGCGATTTGCCAACCTTAGCCTCCCGAAGTGCCAGGATTACAGGTGTTGTGCATTTCTTTTTAACACTTAGTAGTTATTCTGCTGAATAGGTATACTGTAGTCGGTTTACCCATTCACCCACAGAAGGACATCTAGGTTGTTTCCAGTTTTTTACTCATTTGCAAATTTAAAAAAGTATTTAAAAATTAGGGTAAAACACACATACCATACAGTTTACTTATTAATCATTTTAAGTGTACACTTCAGTAGCATTAATCACATTCACATCGTTGTACCACCATCCATCTCCAGAATTCTTTACATCTTGTAAAACTAAAACTCTGTTCCCTTTGTTTATACTTTTGTGTGAATATAATTTAATACCTGGGAGTAGGACTGCTAGGTCATATAGTAAATGTATGTTTAACTTTATAAGAAACCGCTACTGTTTCCAAGTGATTATCCCATTTTGTGTCCCCACCAGCAACATATAAATGTTCCTGATGCTTTGCACCTATGAAGATGACTAACATAAAAAATAAAGTGGTAAGTGCTAGCTGTTTTTTTTTTTATGTTAGTCATCTTAATAGGTGTACAGTAGCTAACGAATTATAAATGCACAAATTACAGGATGCTATGTTATAAAGATGAAAAATCAACAGGTCAACTCTGCGTGTATCTTCTTCAAAGCTGATCTAACCTTGCACTTTCTGTCACCCAGGCTGGAGTGCAGTGGCATAATCTCGGCTAACTGCAAACTCTGCCTCCCGGGTTCAAGTGATTCTCATGCCTCATCCTCCCAAGTTGCTGGGATTACAGGTGTGCGCCACGACACCTGGCTAATTTTTGTATTTTCAGTAGAGACAAGGTTTCACCGTGTTGGCCAGGCTGGTCTCGAATTCCTGGCCTCAAGTGATCCACCATACCTGGCTTAACCTAACACTTTCTATTAAATGTTTATTGGAAGACATATTTGATAATTACTCTGCTAAAAAATGTGACACTGAGACTAAACAGAAAAAAGGAAACAAAGATTTTTAAACATCACAACTGCTTTTCATAATGGTTTTCCTAGGACTGAGGCAGAATGAAAACCCATTCAATTTTGGCTATGGCTTCTATCTAGCTGTGTCATAGATGACATTTTTCTTTTGAGACAGGGTCCTGCTCTGCCATCCAGGTGGAATGCAGTGGTATAATCATGGCTCACTGCAGCCTCAATCACCTGGACTCAAGTGATGCTCCCATCCCAGCCTTCCAAGAGTAGAGTAGCTAGGAACATAGGTATTTGCCACCACATCTGGCCAATTTTAAAAATTATTTTTATTTATTTATTTTTTTGAGACAGAGTCTTGCTCTGTCGCCCAGGCTGGAGTGCAGTGGCACAATCAATCTCAGCTCACTCCAACCTCTGCCTCCCAGATTCAAGCAATTCTCCTGCCTCAGCCTCCTGAGTAGCTGGGATTGTAGGCACATGTCACCACGTCCAGCTAATTTTTGTATTTTTAGTAGAGACGGGGTTTCACCAAGTTGGCCAGGCTGGTCTTGAACTCCTGATCTCAGGTGATCCACCCACCTTGGCCTCCCAAAGTGCTGGGATTATAGGCATGAGCCACTGCGCCTGGCCTAAATTATTTTTAGAGATGAGGTCTCACTATGTTGCCCAGGCTGCTGTTGAACTCCTGCCCTAAAGTGATCCTCTTGCCTAAGCATCCCAAACTGCTGGAATTACAGGCAGGAGCCATTGTGCCTGGCCAGATGAGTTTTCTGTATCAATACCACCAATTACAATAGTGCCTAATTCATACACAGTTCAAATCCATTCATTGTGGGGTACGAAGGGGTAGAGTGCTTCCCTATAAAATGAGTGTAATAAAGTATATAAAATAAAAAATAATACATAAAAAGGCAAGATTTCCATATATAAGCGATATTCTTCTTTTGCCTTTCCATTTAAGCAGTATCAGAGATTAGTTTTCCCCTACCTTTTCTAACTCCTTCCAATCATAGTTTGTATTTCCAATGACCATTGCCTGTAGTTCATTAGGCTGAAAGAGCAGCAGAACTTTTCCTCCACAGACCTTATGAAAGCCCGCATGAAAAGCATCAAATAAGGAAGCCACTGATTTATTGAATATGTAATCCACATAAGCATCAACAAACTCTTGCCTAGAAATGAAAAAGCACAAATGTACAGATTATGAAAATCATTTATGAAGAATACATTATGTAGTCTTATTAAAACTTCAGGCCAGGTGCGGTGGCTCACGCCTATAATCCCAGCACTTTGGGAGGCCGAAGTGGGCGGATTATGAGGTCAAGAGATCGAGACCATCCTGGTCAACATGGTGAAACCCTGTCTCTACTAAAAATACAAAAATTAGCTGGGCATGGTGGCTCACGCCTATAGTCCCAGCTACTTGGGAGGCTGAAGCAGGAGAACTGCTTGAACCCAGGAGGTGGAGGTAGTGGCGAGCCGAGATTGCGCCATTGCACTCCAGCCTGGGTAACAAGAGTGAAACTCCGTCTCAAAAAAACAAAACAAAAAAACAAACTTCACGTGCTCTTGCAATTTCTGCTACATATCTACAAAACTGAGAATGTATGATGTATGAGCGGGGTTCAAACAGGATAAAATTAAAGTCATTATGGAAAAAGCTGTTATTCTTTCTATATGAAAATCAGCTATATCCATGAGGCATTCAGTTATTCTTAGGATATTCCTTTTTTTTTTAGACGGAGTCTCACTCTGTCACCCAGACTAGAGTGCAGTGGCATGATCTCGGCTCACTGCAACCTCTGCACCCTGGGTTCAAGAGATTCTCTTGCCTCAGCCTCCTGAGTAGCTGAGATTACAGGTGCCTGCCACTGTGCCCAGTTAATTTTTTTATTTTTAGTAGAGACAGGGTTTCAACATATTGGTCAGGGTGGTCTTCAACTCCTGACCTCATGATCCACCTGCTTCAGCCTCCCAAAGTTCTGGGATTACAGGTGTGAGCCACTGTGTCCAGCCTTAGGCTATTGTTAATGGAAAAAATGTCATTTTCTAACGGGGAGAATGATGCAAATGGCTATCAAAATAATTTTGGGATTCAGACCATTTTACAAACTATAGCCTTCTTTTCCTTCAGTTCCAAGGATTCTGAACAACATTTATTTTAATAAATACCTAAGAGAGGGTACTAGGCATTCTTTCAGGATCATCATTAAAGAGTACAAGTGTAGTTTCTTTTCAAATGTATGTGTGACTCACATACATAATCACTTCTGATTCTCTTATGATATAAAAGGAAACTCTAAAGAAAAAAAGGAAGCCACTTTAACCCCTGAATTTGAACAACTGTTTTATTCAATTTGTTTTGTTTTGCTAGCCACAAATTTTTTATGATGCTATCTGGTCAAATAAATAATGAGAATAGGTACTAGAAGACTTCACTATTTCATATCTTTGTTCTCCAAGTAATAAATGATGATTTGCAATAGGAATAATGGTAAATTGCCTTTAAAAACCAAATTTTTTAAAAAAAGTATATTTAGAAGGTCCTAAAATTTTTTCACATTACAAAAACAGCTTTATCAAAGTAAGACATATCAATAGTTTAAAATACCAAATAATAACAATCCTAATAGCCAACATTTACTTGAGCACTACATGTGCTAGGTCTATTCTAAGTACCTTAAAATATTGTCTCATCTAATCCTCAACACCATGAAGGTACAATTTGTCATTCCATTTAACAGAGAAGGACACCTAGGCACTGAGACATCAACTAATTTACTTAACGTTATAAAGCTTCTAAGTAGCGGAATCGGATTCAATCCTTTGGACCAAGTCCCTGGCAACAGTCACTACTAAAGAACTGTTAACAGAATAGAAGGGAGCAAAGCAACTCTGTCCTGCACTTCTCCACCAGAAATTCCTGCTATTCAAAGGCAACTCTTTGTTAACTCTTTTTGCTATTCCAATTGATATTTATATTCAAGCTTTTAACAACACAGTTCTATAGTTACTCCTTAAATTTCAATTTGGTTTGGATTTATCTTTTAATGGAGTCTTGCTCTTGTTGCCCACGCTGGAGTGTAATGGTGTGATTTTGGCTCACTGCAACCTCGGCCTCCTCTACTGGGTTCAAGTGATTCTTCTGCCTCAGCCTCCTGAGTAGCTGGGATTATAGGCATGCGCCTGGCTCATTTTGTATTTTTAGTAGAGACGTGCTTTCTCCATGTTGGTCAGGCTCGTTTCAAACTCCTGGCCACAGTTGATCTACCGTGCCAGGCCGGATTTACCTTTAATGTAATTATCCCATTCACTTTCCACTACCCTGCACATCTATTACATTTATATAATAATTTTTGGTTCAATATTTGTTAACATTTCTATATTGTCCACAGTTATGCTGTATTCTATGATTACTTTTCTCTTAAAAAGAACTTCTGGCTGGGCCCCGTGGCTCACGCCTGTAATCCCAACATTTTGGGAGGTCGAGGTGGGCAGATCACAAGGTCAGGAGCTCGAGACCAGCCTGGCCAACATGTTGAAACCCCATCTCTACTAAAAATACAAAAATTAGCTGGGCGTGGTAATGGGCACCTGTAGTCCCAGCTACTCGGGAGGCTGAGGCAGAAGAATCCCTTGAACCCAGGAGGCAGAGGTTGTAGTGAGCAGAGATCGCACCACTGTACTCCAGCCTGGGTGACAGAGGGAGACTCTGCCTCAAAACAACAACAAAAACTTCTATTTTCCTTAGTTTGCTACTTCATCCCCAACTTCTCCAAAAGAAATATCCATTTCCTCTAGATTCATTCAAAATATTAGGTGCTTTCAGTTGCATTTCTCTCCTCGAGCCCTCCATACTCTTGGTGTAATCCAGAGAGTTAGCTCTCTAAATCTATACAGCTATTGATCCTTCAGAAAGAATCTTTGCTTGTTTGAATCCTGGTGGTGTTTTGTTGCTTTTATAATCCTGTGTCTTCCTCTTTCTTCGTTTAATTCCTTTAGTAGATAGAACACATCCTCCAGTAACTTCCTGAGAAAAAGGCATCAGAAGTAAATTCTCTGAGACTGTGCATGTATGAAAATGTTTTTAAACACTCACACACTTGATAATTTGGATACAGAATTTGAAGTTAAAAGTAATTTTCTTCCAGAATTTTGTTCTGCTAGCTTCCAGTGTTCTTTACAAGTCTGATGTTATTGATTCTTAGGTCTGTGGGTTTTTTGGACCATTTTAGGGTTCTTTTGTCTTTGAAAATTTTGAAAATTTCATGTATCTTCTCTTGGTATTGATCTTTTTTCCACTTCGCATCCTTTCAAGCTTGAAAGGATGTCATTCGTTTCTGGAAAGTTGTTTTTTTAAAAAATATTTTATTGACAAATTTCATTCATTCCATTTTTTCAAATGAAATTATTTTTCTATTTTTAATTGTATGTCATGCATCATTCTAAGGATACTGATTTCAGTCTCCTCCAACGTTTTGTCCTTCGACCTGCATGGTTCCTGGCTTCTTGCCATTCTTTTTGACTGTTCTGGTCTTTTCTTTAATGTCTATTGATCTTTGACTATTGAGTTACATTTTAAATGTTAGGCAGTTTCCCCAGAAGTGGATCTTCCACTATACAGTGCCAAGGAGGAGGGAGTTATAGATTTTCAGAACCTAATCTCCCTGTTTTCAGTTCAGCTCCCTGCCTCTGGCAGTGTCCACGTGTCCTCAAATCCACAGTCCCTTTAGTTCAATTTCTCCAGAAGGTAAATTTCCAATCTCCTGCCCAGTCCGGAGAGAGGTAGCTGCCAGGTTCCTGGTGTGCTAAGGGAAGCTAGCACTTTCATTGTTGTTTTAAATCCAATGTTAGCATGGGAAACTAGTTTCTAACTGCTTCTTGTAAGAGTCAACCTTTGTTTCTAGCATTTCCCCAAACACCATGCACTTTCTAAAGGTATGTTTTATTCTCAGCACTTAAACTTTTGTTCTGCGAAGTGATCCAACTGGCTTCTTGGCTCCTCTTTTCCATCTCATGTTGCAGCTTTCTCTGGTTTGCTAAAGTTAATTTTGACTATTTTCGGGCTTCCAAAAATGTTTGCTGCTGTCACTTCTCCCTTATCTTTGTTTTAATGTCTTCAAGGGATTTCAGAAGGAAAAGGCAGATTATTTCCTCATTAACCACTCAAAATTAAAGTTTTATTGAAGTAAAAACTTAGGGTTGTGACACGTTTTCTTTTTTTTTTTTTTTTCACGTTTTCTACATACAGAAGAAAATGTCTACTGAATCTTATTATTCCCACGGTTGCTGCTATAATTCACTTACCGATTTTGTTTGTTAACAGCTGTGTCTGCACCATTTACAACCAGCTCTTTCACTTCTGTTGCACCAAAGTTTTCAACTGTGATCTATTAATTTAAATTTTTAAAAAAAGTCAATGTCAGACTCAAAACTTAGAGTATTTTAATAATCTATTATTATATTCTACCTTTCTCGCATTTAATAAAAAGACTAATAAATTTGAGATAAAATTCTGCTATCATAGCTTATTTGAGAATTCTGCTTAAAGCCATAACTAGAAATTCTGATCCTCTCTAGTTTGAAATCCTACCATGATCCCCTAACTACAAATTACCAAGTGTTTGGTAAGTTACTAAGGAAACTAAGCATTTCTTATGCATAAAACTTTAGAATGGTTACTGTAAGAATAAAATATTAGAAAGGATGTTTTCCTTAGATGAGTGATAAAATCCAAGCATCGGAATGCATTCAGCTTAGAAAACCATGCATTCTTCCCACATGACAACTGCTACTCTAGGGTTCCTCTATCAGCCTTGTAAATGTAATCACAGGCAGGTTTCTAGTTATGTACTAATTTGATTTATAAGGATAGTCAGATATTTTGAAATTAGGTATTTCTTTTACCTCTAGAATTTTTCTACAAATATTACCACTCCCACTTTTGCAACTTTTCTTCTGCTATTTCTTCTTTGTGGAATATTACCCTCTTTTACGAAAATCTGCTATTTATAAAATACTATGATGGGAGTGGGATGTTAGATGAATATTTCTGCTCTGAAATTTACTATCTAGTAAAAAAAGAGAAATGTAATATATAAAGAACTAATTATAATAAAATGATCCATTTATAAGAGAGATATGAATGAAATGTTATCAGATCATAGAGGAATGAAAATGGAATTCTAACTAGAGGAAGTGTGAAAGACCTTGAGGAAGAAATGCCATTTGAAAAGCACCTACAAGTACAGGCAGTATTTTGAAAGATTAAGAAGAGAGCCGGGCGCGGTGGCTCACGCCTGTAATCCCAGCACTTTGGGAGGCTGAGGCGGGTGGATCACGAGGTCAAGAGATCGAGACCATCCTGGTCAACATGGTGAAACCCCCGTCTCTACTAAAAATACAAAAAAATTAGCTGGTCATGGTGGCGCATGCCTGTAATCCCAGCTACTCAGGAGGCTGAGGCAGGAGAACTGCCTGAACCCAAGAGGCAGAGGTTGCGGTGAGCCGAGATCGCGCCATTGCACTCCAGCCTAGGTAACAAGAGCGAAACCCCACCTCAAAAAAAAAAAAAAAAAAGAAGAGAGTGAGATTTCAGACAGAGAATATCGATTGAACAAAAAATTAGATATTACAGTAAGTGCCAAGTTTCTGAAAATGTATGGCAAGTGGCTCTGCAAAAGAGGAAGGTAAGGTATATTCAAACAAACAAACACACAAAAAACAAAACACTGTGTGGTCCAGGCACAATGGCTTATCCCAGCAATTTGGGAGGCTGAAGCGGGTGGACCACGAAGTCAGGAGTTCGAGACCAGCCTGACCAACATTGTGAAATGCTGTCTCTACTAAAAATACAAAAATTAGCCAGGCGTGGTAGCGCATGACTGTAATCCCAGCTACTTGGGAGGCTGAGGCAGGAGAATCACTTCAACCCAGGAGGTAGAAGTTGCATTGAGCCAAGGTTGCGCCACTACACTCCAGCCTGGGCAATAAGAGCAAAACTCTGTCTCAAAAATAATAATAATAAAATAAAAACCTAACATGGGTATAAGTGAATCAAATGAAAAAGAGAACCCAAATGTCATATAAAATAGTTTTGTTTTGTTTTTTAAAAATTTTATGGTCCCTTATTCTAACAGGAACATATTTTGGAAAATGCTTTTCTGTTATCTGGATTCGTGAAGAGCAACTTTTTTTTTTTTTTTGAGATGGAGTCTCACTCTGTCACCCAGGCTGCAGTGCAGTGCTGTGATGTTGGCTCACTGAAACCTCTGCCTCCTGGGTTTAAGCAGGAGGCCTTAAACCTCTCCTGCCTCAGCCTCCTGAGTAGCTGGGATTACAGGCGTGCACCACCACGCCTGCCTAATTTTTGTATTTTTAGTAGAGATGAGGTTTCACCATTGTTGGCCAGGCTGGTCTCGGAACTCCTGACCTCAAGTGATCTGCCCACCTTGGCCTCCCAAAGTGCTGGGATTACAGGCATGAGCCACTGAGCCCGGCCAGAAAATCGTTTTAAAAATTCATTTTTCTTGAAAAAAACTATGAACATGTAATTTTTTTCTTTTTGGCAAATCTTATGGCAGCAAAATATGGCATCTTTTGACAGCTTTGACAACAAAACCATAAAGAAAACTGTTGTGTGTGTGGTGAGTGGCAAACAAATATACAAATAAAAAAATTTTAAAAAGAAAAAGAGGCTAAGCACGGTGGCTCACACCTGTAATACCAGCACTTTGAAAGGCAGGCAGATCACCAGGTCAAGAGATTGAGATCATCCGGGCCAACATGGTGAAACCTTGTCTCTACTAAAAATAATTAGCTGGGCGTGGTGGTGTGCACCTGCAATCCCAACTACTTGCGGGGGCTGAGGCAAGAGAATCACTTGAACCTGGGAGGCAGAGGTTACAGTGAGCTGAGATCATGCCACTGCACTCCAGCCTGGTGACAGAGCCAGAGCCAGACTCCGTCTAAAAAAAAAAAAAAAAAGAAAAAGAAAAGAAAAGGAAAGGAAACTGAAGGTTTTACAATTTCCCCAGAGTCTAATTTATAATATTCAAATTGTTCCCTTCTGGAGGGCCTTATCATAACTTCTATGGATTTTCTCATATCTAATTGCCAACTAGTCTACTCCTGCCATATCCTCATTTATTAATGGCTTTGCATGTGACTGGATCAGTTATTTAACATCCTTTTCGTTGCCTTAGTGAAACCGTGCATCTTTTACAAGATTTGCCATTTCATTTTCCAAATGATATTGCAATGTATTTGCATTTGTTTTATCTATGTTATCCAACAGTGAGTAAGACAAGATGGGCAAGGATGAATGTTGTGTGAAATACAACAGAATGTACCAGTGGAAATTTATGTTTTTAAGTTTAGTAGTAATATTCTCATAATAACCTTTTGCTTCTCTAAAGCATTTCTGTAACTCCAGACTCAAAAATGAACACATGGATAAAGAGGATGTCTTGTATTTGTAAATATCTTTAGCATAATAATAAATCACATAGGTTTAAGTAACAGAGGTTGGTATGTATACTGACTTCCAAAGTAATGACTTTTTTCAGTTTTCTTCATCTGTAAAACATGGATAATCCTAACCTCATTGGATTGTTGAGGATTAAATGAAATGCATGTACTATGACTAGCTAGCACATAGTAAATGCTCAATAAATGTTAGCTAAAGGGTTCTTTAATAATTCCATCCATCAAAATAAAGAAAAACTGTAAGACACAGCTCTTAAATAAAAGGGATGATGAATAATCAGGCTAATTTGTCTTTCCATCTTACCGTAAAATTAAGACAAAATGTTTCCTCTATGTCATCTTCTGGATAATCCAGTAATTGTTGCATGCTTCTGCAAAATAATATATATGTTTCTTAGGGCAAAATCATTATTGGGTATTTTGACTATTTTACTTATGAATATGTATATACTTCTCAGTCACTTAAAATCCTTTTTGTCAGTCTGTAATTTTATATTTTTTTCAAAATAGTGAATAAACAATGGCAAACTTATAAATGATGCTGAAGGAAAAAAATTAGACAAAGGTTCTTATCACGTTTCTGAATACAAAAGGCCATGTATCCACTTATTTTAACATTTTTCCTTATTTTACTTTCCTAAGATGGAGTCTTGCTCTGTTGCCCAGGCTGGAATGCAGTGGCATGATCTCAGCTCACTGCAACCTCCACCCCCTGGCTTTTTAAGCAATTCTTCTGCCGCAGCCTCCAGAGCAGCTGGGATTACAGGCGTGTGCCACCACACCCAGCTAATTTTTGTATTTTTAGTAGAGATGGGGTTTCACCATGTTGGCCAGGCTCGTCTTGAACTCCTGACCTCGTGATCTGCCTGCTTTGGCCTCCCAAAGTGCTGGGATTATAGGCGTGAGCCACCATACCTAGCCCATTTGTCCTTATTTATATGCAATTTTTAATCCATTTTATTTAATAAATAAAAATAAATTTCACATATTCAAACTAGGAATGAAGGTTATCAGAAGTAAAAGTCCAAATAAATCATTTAATCACTCTCAGAAAAAATTGCTTTCCTAAGGTGATTACCTGTTATTTGCAAAGTATTACCAAATAACTTAAAAAAAAATTTTTTTTTGAGACAGATCTTGCTCTGTCACCCAGGCTGGAGTGGTACGGTGCAATCTCGGCTCATTGAAACCTCCACCTCCTAGGCTCATGTGATTCTCTTGCCTCAGCCTCCTCAGTAGCTGGGACTACAGGCGTGGGCCACCACGCCTGGCTAATTTTTTGTAGTTTTAGTATAGATGGGGTTTCGCCATGTTGGTCACGCTGGTATCAAACTCCTGACCTTAAGTGCTAGGATTGTATGTGTGAGCCAAGGCACTAGCCAAATTTAGTCTTTCAATAGAAAATTTTGACCTGAGTAACATAATCGATTTTCCTTTATTAGAGGGGCATTTGTTTAGTTTATCTCGGAGATTTAAGAAGAACAACAAAAAATATACATTCATAGAAGGAAAGCTTTCTGTACATTCCCCACTTCTTATCTCCCACACCCTACTACCTTTTGACAGTTTTGTTTTGTTTTTTTACAACTAACCTCCCAACATCAGGCATTAGTTCTTTTAAATCATCCAAGGATGGCTTCTTTTTCAGTAGTTTCTTATATAAAGCCAAAGGAAAATGGAGGTCCACAATAGTAAAATTGTAAATAGCTAAGCCACAGATAACACCAATCAAATGGAACAAATCACTGTCTTCAAATGTCTAAAAATATAAGAAAAAGTACAGACATGTCCTCCAAGTTAAAATATTAAATTTTCTATGATTACATAAATATGCTCATAGTATACAATTTTGAAGATAGAGAAAAAAGTAATAAATAAAAAAATTAATATCTTGCTGAGATCACACTATACATATGACTTTACAACTGTTTTTTCCAAGACACACAAGCATATTCATGTCACTCAACATTAAGTTAATGGGTGCAATAATTACTCTAACTTTTTTTCTGATTTAAATATACACATTTGAAATTTGGAAAACAAAGAAAAAACATAAGAAAGAAAATGATAAACATCTGTAAACCAATCACTCAGGAATAATGATCAAAAATTTTGTGTGTATTTTCACCTACAATAAGCTCAGAAAAATAATTTTAATATGCTGTATTTAAGATTTTATCTCTTTCTAATTACAATGAGTATCATGTCATTAAATGTTCTTCTAAAACATGACTTTTTGTTTTTGTTTTTGTTTTTTTGAGACAGGGTCTCCCTCTGTTGCTCAGGCTGGAGTGCAGTGGCGTGGTCTCCGCTCACTGCGATGTATGCCTCCTGGGTTCAAGTGATTCTCCCGCCTCAGCCTCCTGAGTAAGTGAGATTACAGGCGTGCGCCACCACAGCCCGGCTAATTTTTGTATTTTTAGTAGAGATGGGGTTTCACCATATTGGTCAGGCTGATCTTGAACTCCTGACCTCAGGTGATCCCACCTCCCAGAGCGCCGGGATTACAGGCATGAACCACCACGTCCGCCCAAAACATGACTTTTTAATGGCTGCATATTGTATCATGAAAGTACAATGAGTTGCTAAATTTAGCTGTTTTACTCTAGTTGGATGTTTAGATTACTGAAACATACTTACACGACTGACACACTGAAAATGTTTATTTTTTCCTTCATCTTTATAACAGTAATATGTATTTACAGAAAACTGTGAGCATGATGGCTAAAGAATAAACGTTATAAATTAGACCTGGACTTCAGCCTGGTTTGGCAGTCTAGCTCTGTGTTTTCAAAGATAAATATAGTATTTATCTCATATGATTGTTATGAGGATTACATGGGATAATATATGTTAAACACTTTTAGCACAGTTCTTGAAGCACACATGAAAAGTTCAATAAACGTCAGTTATACTACCTAGCTAGTAATATTAAAAATAAGATGGGCAACTTTTTGCATATCTTGGTCCACAGTTTGAAATATTTCCCTAGGAGAAATTCTACTTCCTAAGGAAAAATTCGTAAGTCAAAAGATAGTCAAGCACATTGCCAATCTGCTTTCCTCTACCCCTGTTCCAGTTTGAACTGCTATTTGCAGTACAGGAAAATGCCCCACTCTTCATGTTTTCATCTGTATATATACTCTACACATACACAAACTCATTTTTGTTTTGAGTTTAAAATGACAACTTGCTTTAGTACACATTTCTATTTGTGATACCGAAAAGCAGAAATATGTGGGTGCTCATGAAATATCTCCTCAGGTACTTGGTCCACTTATCTTTTGGGAGATAGTGTTTTTCTTTTGTATTTGAATTCTTCATATATGAGGAGTATTACTCTGCACCATATTTGTTACATACAACCCGGTCTGTTACATGCTTTTCAATTTTATGTCTTCTGCTATGCATAAATATAACAGTTTTCAGCGGTCAAATTAATCTTTCTCTGCTGTTATGTCTTAATTCTGTTTAAGTTTAAAAAGTTCTTAAATCGAGCAGACTGATTAATGTGTTAATTCTCTCTCCCCCTTAAAACCCTCTAAAAGAGAATAAAGGAAGAAAAATGGTATAAGTCCACAGGAAAAAAAGAGAGTAAGAGATGTTAATAACATTTCAAAATATGAAAAGTGGACAAATGGCTGGTAACTGAACTGGCGAAGTAGAAAACATTGAAATAGTAACTTACAGCTACTATGTGCCACAGGCTCAGGAATTTGAAGTACCAATGCCTGCAACTGCAACATCAGAGGTAGCCAGTTAGCTCAGCTGGTAAACATAAAGACTCTAAAAGGCGGAGGTATAAGAGTGGGGTTGAAACTAGGATACTCGGCTTTTTGGGCGAGCCTGAACCAGAGGCTGTGGAATCTGAGGCAGCTGATAGTCAGGGTGCTACACTGAAAACAAAGGGATCAAATGAAGGTCTGTATAGTTAGTGAACAAGGAGAATCCTAGCTTCCTTTTCCAGAGTCCAAACCACTACTAAAACAGACATCCAGGATTACAACCTTTCTTGAAAATCTGAAGGACAAAATAAAAAATATGTGCTGACATTTGAGGATTCTCCTTTGAAAGGTACCTACCTAATTACTCTATGGATGGGGCCTGTAGAGTGGGAACAACTCTGCCCTGTGGCTTGGGTGCCAGCAAGGCCACAGTAGAACAGAGCACCAAGTAGATTCCTAAGGTTTCTGACTTCAAGGCCTGGCTCTCAGACAGCATTTCTGGACCCAACTGGGACTGAGTGGAACTCTGTGCACTGAAGGAAAGAACACAAGCTTGTCTGGCTTCACCACCTGCTGACTGCAGAGCCCTAGGGCCTTGGAGCAAACACAAGCAGTAGCCAGGTAGTGGTTACCATGAGCCCTAGATGAGACCCAGTGCAGGGCTGGCCTCAGGTCTAACCCAGTGCAGTCCCAGTGGTGGTAGCCACAAAGGTGCTGGCGTCACCTCTCACCCAGCTCCAGAGAGCTCAGCAGAGAGAGACTCTATTTGTTTGGGAAAAAATGAGGAAAGAGATCAAGAGTCTCTGCCTGGTGATCCAGAGGGTTCTTCTGAATCTTATCCAAGACCAGGTAGTACCTCTTAGTTTACAAGAGACATAGTGCTATTGGGCTTCGGTTGCCTCCTAATGCAGATATGGCTACAATGACCAAAAACTTAGATCACAACACCCAAGTCCCTCCGAATACCTGGAAAGCCTTCCCAAGAAGGATGAGTACAAACAAAACCAGACTGTGAAGACTACAATAAACACTTAACTCTTCAATGCCCAGACACCAATGAACAATCACAAGCATCACAACCATCCAGGAAAACATGACCTCATCAAATGAACTAAATAAGGCACCAGTGACCAGTCAAGGAGAGACAGAGATATGTGACCTTTCAGTCAGACAGAGAATTCAAAATAGCTGTTCCGAGGAAAAATAAATTCAAGATAACACACAGAAGGTATTCAGAACCCTATCAGATAAGTTTAACAAAGAGATTAAAAAGAATCGAGCAGAAATTCTAGAGTTGAAAAATGCAACAGACATACTGAAGAATAACACATCAGTGTCTCTCAACAGTGGAATTGATCAAGAAAAAGAAACAATTAGTGAGCTTGAAGACAGGCTATTTCAATGTACACAATCAGAGGAGACAAAAGAAAAACCAGTAAAAAAGAATGAAGCACTCTTACAAGATCTAGAGAATCAGCCGGGCGCGGTGGCTCAAGCCTGTAATCCCAGCACTTAGGGAGGCCGAGGAGGGTGGATCACGAGGTCAAGAGATCGAGACCATCCTGGTCAACATGGTGAAACCCCGTCTCTACTAAAACTACAAAAAATTAGCTGGGCATGGTGGCACGTGCCTGTAATCCCAGCTACACAGGAGGCTGAGGCAGGAGAATTGCCTGAACCCGGGAGACAGAGGTTGCGGTGAGCCGAGATCGCGCCATTGCACTCCAGCCTGGGCAACAAGAGCGAAAACCCCGTCTCAAAAAACAAAAAACAAAAAACAAAACAAAACAAAACAAAACAAAAAAAAAGATCTAGAGAATCACCTCAAAAGGGCAAATCAAAGAGTTATTGGCCTTAAAGAGGAGGTAGAGAAAGAAATGGGATAGAAACTTTGTTCAAAGGGATAAAAACAGTGAACATCCCAAACCTAGGGAAAGATATCAATATTCAAGTATAAGAAAGTTATAGAACACCAAGCAAATTTAGCCCAAGTAAGACTACTTCAAGATATTTAATAATCAAACTCCCAAAGGTCAAGGATAAAGCAAGAGAGTTCATTTGGTGGGGTCATGTTTTCCTGGATGGTTGTGATGCTTGTGATGTTTGTTGGTGTCTGGGCACTTAAGAGTTAAGTATTTATTATGGTCTTCACAGTCTGGTTTTATTTGTACTCATCCTTTTTGGGAAGGCTTTCCAGGTATTCGGAGGGACTTGGGTGTTGTGATCTAAGTTTTTGGTCACTGCAGCCATATCTGCATTAGGAGGCAGGAAGAAAAAAGAAACAACAAACAATGGAGCTCAGTACATCTGGCAGCAGACTTTTCAGTGGAAACCTTACAGGCCAGGAGAACGGCATGACATATTTAAAGTTGAAGGAGGGCCGGGTGCGGTGGCTCAAGCCTGTAATCCCAGCACTTTGGGAGGCCGAGGCGGGTGGATCACGAGGTCAAGAGATCGAGACCATCCTGGTCAACATGGTAAAACCCCATCTCTACTAAAAATACAAAAAATTAGCTGGGCATGGTGGCACGTGCCTGTAATCCCAGCTACTCAGGAGGCTGAGGCAGGAGAATTGCCTGAACCCAGGAGGCGGAGGTTGCGGTGAGCCGAGATCGCGCCATTGCACTCCAGCCTGGGTAACAAGAGCGAAACTCCGTCTCAAACTATCAGAGCTAAAGAGACAGAGAGAGAGACCCCAATACAATAATAGACTCCCCTTTCAGATCATTCAAACAAAATCAATGAAGAAACATTGATCTTAATCTGCACTATAGACCAAATGGACCTAATAGATATTTAGAGAACATTTCACCTAGCAGCTGAAGAATATACATTGTTCTCTGCAGTACATGAATCATTGTCAAGGATGGACCATATGTTAGACCACAAAACAAGTCTTGCTTTAGGTCCAAAGACAGAAATAGGTTCAAAGTTAAGGTTTGGAAAATAGTTATTCCATGTAAATAGTAACAAAAGAGAGCTAGAGAAACTATACTAATAACAGACAAAATAGTAAGATGCAAAACTGATATGAGACAAAGACAAATATTGATAACAGGGTCAATTCATCAAGAAGATATAACAATTACAAATAATTATGAACCTAACACAGCTCCAAAATTTATAAGGCAAAAACTGACAGAATCAAAGGGAGGCATGCATGAGCCACGGGCACCCAGCCAAATACACCTTCTTTTTAAGTGTACATGGAACATCTTCTAGGATAGACCATA